CCCCAGTAATACCGGCGCCCTCTCCTAAAATAAATACATAACACACGGGTATAACTATGCAGAATGTAATGACATTATTTCTTTATCGGAAAAATAACATAAAACAGAACAAATCAAAACTATTTTCATCGACGAAATTCATCGTATAAACAACCTCCTATTCTATATAGTATACATATACGTGTAATCACGTACATGCTTCTTATTGTTCAGCCAATAACAATAGTACATTCTGTTGGTTGGAATTCATACAGCATACCTACAGAAGACAGACAGGCGGACGGACGAACAGAAGGACACTGCTAATCGCTAATAACTGTGCATTGCTATTATTACTCCGTATAGCTACATCTAGCTTGTTTAATGCTAATGACTGTGTATTTATAATTAATGGTTACTGATAATTACTTTTTCTGCTAAATTGATGTTACTTCGTATAATTCGTATTTTGTTACTTCTCTTCGATAGTTTCAATCCATGACTTGCGTTTTATATAAAAGCTGCATATCTTAAATCACAATACATGTACACATGATATGTAATATTAGATGTAAATTACTACATGCACTAGACATTAGGTATTTATTATATATTACAAATCACTATAGATATTATATACATAATATATAATAGCTATATTATACCTTAAATCAACATAAACTTGATAATATAATATTTGTTGTAAATTTATACGTACATAATGTATATTATATATTACAAACACTATGGATAAAATGTAAAATGTGTGATAAAAACCATAGAATACATATTGTATGACAAATATACTCTAAATCACTGCATACATACATGCTGTACATCAAACTTGAGATAATACTCTAAATAACTACAATCCTACTGCTTCATATAACTTCAATTCGCTATATACTCGTACATAATATATCATGTATACCCTAAATAAATAATATGTCACGAAATAATCATCCGATTTAAATAAGTAATTCACCCCAGAGATGTACCCATTAGTTGCCATTCTAGCCTTAGACGAATTTACTTCTGTAAAATTTAAACAAACAGTCGAGTACAATTCGTTAATGCAATATTATATGAAAGAATATATTCATTATGTTTGCCTCATCAAATATAGATATAAGTGTTCAACAACACGTGCATGGTTATCCTGAGAGCGGCTCTAACTCGAGCTGTTACAGTGTTTGTGAACGTGTGTCAAGCTAACAATGCTGAACACGGTGACCATGCTACAGGTAACCTGAATAGCGAGTTACAGCTATATCGATATTAGACACGGTTGAATTATCGCCATGTGTACTACACATGCGCGGGTATGTATGTCAGTACCCGTGTACGAGTATCCGGTGGGATTCCCTCAAGTGTTTTGATCAGTCATCGATGTTGTTACATGAATATTTAACATGTTAATTAAATAGCTGTGCTACCTGCAGTTTCATATATATACCGGCAGATCTCACAGCATAGATAGCATGGTATGTATGTTTAGATATAGGCAATCTATTATCTCTAGTGACACTGCTATAGAACGACCCAGACTGTTATTTATATGTGTTGTGTATCTATTATGCAGGTCTACTAGCTGTTCATCGTTTGTATAACACTATTGCTTTATGTGACTTTCCTTGTATTCATAGACACTGGCAGATACACTACTGTTAATGTAAACATACTGTGCATAGGTCATAGCAGGGACAGTATATTATACGTCCCTGGTCATAGATACACAGGAACTGTTTGTGTTCTAATACCTGCTATTGGTGGAATTTCGAGGGCGTTGTTCATTTCAAGATAAAAGGGATAAAAGACCGGGAATCACTGCCATTTTCTGAAACCTTTCAAAAGTTCAAAATATTTTTATTTTGGATTTAGTATTGATCGTATACAAGCCCTGTGTCATGTCCGGGTGTACATCTGTATGTTCAACCTTATCTAGATGAATGTATGAATATGTCTGTGATTATTCATGTTTTTCGAATAATTGATTACAATATATTATTTCAATATTTAATGAAATAATGTATGAATCTTTAATGTGACACGTATACTCTTTAAGTTTGTTCAATACCACGAGCATGGTTATCTTATGAGCGGCACTAACTCGTACGGTTGGAGAGTATGTGAGTGAGAGTTAAGCTTGCAATGCTGAATATTATGACAATATAACAGGGTATCTGAATAGCAAGTTAATACATATACTTTAGCATGTCCTTTCATAGTTTTTTATTCAGTATGAGTTGGTACGGATGATTAATATAAGTTGTTCCCCTAGAGAGGTACTTAAAATCTGTTTTTTTTTAAATATTAAACCATTACAAGGACATTGGATGTTTTTTTACTGATTATATATATAAATATATCTAGACAATTATATAAATAAATGTATCGAAAAGATTTTTTTTGAAAACATTTTTCGCTCATATCAAGATACATTCGAGTGTCATAAAAAAGATATGTATGGTTCACTCTTTGATGTTAAACATAGTTAATCAAATGAGATAGTGAACCTTACACATTCCGTTATGGGGTTCAAACGTCCAACATCTCCCATATAGTTCATAGAGTATGCTATCTTACTTAATTCTCTGAAAAGAGACGATTTAGTCAATACTCTGCATTTAAATGCTATATATCGTTATGTTATATAATTATTGTATGTTATCATCATATGTTTTCTTTGCAGACCACTGTTCAATATCTGGAAATGAACTTCACACTGCTGTAACATGGGGTGTTTCCTCCAGGGCGTTTGACCCAGTAGTATGTATTCATTTTTACCAAATATCATCTTGTCTATGTGAAGCAACACAAATCACATGTTGTGCCGGATTTCTCGTCTTTCCTTTTCCCCATATGCCTATTGAACACACTTTTAAAGACAATTGCTAAATTAAAAAAGGATGTAAAGACCCACCTCTTTATGTCCGCATTAAAGGCTCTCCGCACAGACATCATGTACACACCGCCCTTTATACATTGTCTTCCTACTAAATGTATAATGCTGATTGGTATGCTTTGTTTATCTGCTGTAACTAATACTATTATGCATGCATTTTAACACGCTTAAGATTATTTATTTAGGAGGGAGACACAATTTAGGATCTTACCTTTTCTCTTTTTTTCTAAAGTTTTTTAATCAGTTCCCCTTCTATCACAAGGAGACAAACACGAACATATCGCAGCCTCCCTAAACACACGCATGCATCTTGCACAGAGGGGAGGCCGTCCTTCAATGACCATAGCTGTTGATAGGACGTTTATCAATACTAAACCAAACCAAACCAAACTACCCTTTAACTTAGTATTTTCAGCTAGTGAATTATCGGAACATTTCATCTTAACGAACAACTCAAAATATGTCATTTTTAGGGGTTATTTTGTCTTTAGGGGGTAAACATACACATTTTAGTTACGTTTTCAATTTTGAGCATGCAGAATCTCCCCCAATGGATACACAAAAGGTTGGAAAGTATGAACTTATATCGGGCGCTATATAAATGCTGTATATTACTTAGTGCACAATACAATTTCTGATGAATTTAATAATTAAACTGTATCTGTTTGCGCCACAGCATTTTACTTCTCATTGACACTTAAGTAGAGACGTGAAACTAGCTGTGACCGGTAACAACATCTTCGCTAGCCAAGGGTTACCTACTCTAGGTAGATCGTACCGGGTCGTAACCCTTGGCTAGCGAAGATGGGTAACAACAGCTTCTGTAACTTTGCTGACGCTTACACTTTCAGCAACGACGGTATTGATCGCGCATACTTACCATCTGTTGACCTTTTTGTTTCATGATTGTAAATATCCTATGACAGGCCTGTTTATAACCTATTTTGTCTGTTGGTCTGTGTAACGTGTATTGCCCAGTCTCTTAGTTAAGCAAACACTAAATACTATTATTATTTAAACATGTATAGATAGGGTCTATCGATTTTTCTTGTACTGTAATATATTATATATATATTCATATATTAACTGAAGTATCCATGCATCACAAAACGATTAACAAGCACAGTTACAATAGTTAAGTGGCTGAGCCTCAAAAAAAGGGAAATTTTATAACTGAAAAAAGGACAGGGAAACTATGTGACATCATTTTTATTATAATTTTGCGTTGAATAAAATGTATCAAATATACATAATCATTTGCCATGGCTGTATCTTGACTAACTTCATATACACAAAAAATATATGTAAAATTAAAAAAGAAAGTAAACGATGTATGGAAAAACTAGAAATTGAAACAAGCTGATTAACTTTTCTAGAACTAAAGATTTAACATACCATTTAAAATGTCATGATCACTTACATATTGTTTTAAGTGGCAGAATAATTAAATAGCGATAATGTGTGATGTGAAATGACTTTCGTAACTTTCGTTTTCAGAAGCGCCTCTATCCCTGTTTGTATAAGAGTCCATTACTTTCTCTCTGTATGCATAATGGACGTTTTAGAGATTTTTTATTATTTTTAATTGTGTTGCAGGAACGGGATCTGGTCCAGTTTCTAAGATGAGGAAGCGGGTATGTATACGTGCCTTAGTGCGAACGGAGGCGTTGGTTATTTATGCTGTCCTATGGGTGTCCTTGATGACCGTATACTTCCAAATAAAGATCATCCCAAAATACTACGTCGCTCTGGAACGCGAGATGTGGCTGCGCAACCTTAAACCAAATGAGGACAATCAGAATGTCGGTATTTATAACAACACTGCGGGAAATGAATCCGATCCGATTAATACAGTTCCGTCTGGATCTGATGTTATGAAGTGGTTCATTCACGGTCCGACAATGACTCCATTGAGGCAGAAATCTCGTATACACCCACATTTGAAGTCGTATGATGTTCAGAAAGAAGTTTGTCATCGGGGTGCTGTTCATTTATTGATATATATCCAAAGTTCTCCACAAAATGGCTATCAACGAGATGCCATCAGAAACACATGGGGAGGGGTTCACAACTTCAAAGAAATTTATGTAGAGCGCATTTTTTTGGTTGCTGAAACTGATGATAAGCAAGTTAATGAATCTGTAGAAAAGGAAAGACAAAAAAATGATGATATCATTCTTTGTCATTTCATAGACAATTATAGAAATTTATCTTTAAAAGCGATTACTTTGTTAGATTTTGTTAACAATCGATGTTCAAATGCAAAATATATACTTAAAACTGATGATGATATATTTGTAAACATTTATTTACTCATAGAAAAATTCATTCCACAAATTGTGAAGAAACCGAAATCCGTAGTTTGTCATGGAAAATACGGTCATCCAATTGTTACCGACCCGAACAGTAAATGGTATATGCCTTCCGATATTTTGCCGAAGGCCGATAAGGGCATCCTACCTACGTTCTGTACCGGATATGCGGTCCTCTTCACCATCGACCTTGTTCCTATGTTGCTTAATGCGTCTTTCACCTCCCCATTTGTTCAAGTTGACGATGTGTACATGTTTGGGTTTCTGCTGAAGAGGATAGCAGATGTGAACTTTATCGACGCCATTGATTCCTTTACATTGAACCAGGAACTGGGACTAGCTGAGTACCAGGATGCAAAGAAGCCCCTAGAACATTGTGTGCTCAGTGCATGGGAAAAGGGGACACAGGAGAAGCTCTGGGAGAGAACTATTGATAAGTTATCTGCCGTTGGGAAAAATATCGTAAACCCAGGTCAATTACCTTACGAATACTGATTTTATGTTCAAACCACTTTGTTTGCTGTCAAATACAAAGATTCACCAACCAAAATGATTCAATTGAGATTTTCAAAATGTTTAGGTGTTATTACTTTAAAACAAATAAATGTTTGCAGTGTATAATATGGACTAATATCCTATTCTACCACGAACAATTCTCAACTTCGTAAAATATTGTGCAATCTGTGCTATGTATATTTCACAACCTATCATTTTTTTCTATTTATAGAATCTTCCTTTCTCCTTTCCTGCATAGTCAAAAAACGTTTCGACAAGATAAAAGGCTGATCATATTTTTAGGTCACCTGAGACAAAGTCTCAAGTGACCTATTGCGATCGCCATTTGTCCGGCGTCGTCCGTCGTGCGTCCGTAAACAATTTACATTTTCTACTTCTTCTCCAAACCCTCTAACCCAATTTCAAAGAAATTTCGCAGAAACCTTCCATGGCCAAAGGTCAACCACAATTGTGAATAATATGGTCCCCAGCTCCCAGGGGCCTGAGGGGCGGGGCCAAAAAGGGTAAAATTGACTAAAACTTCAAAAATCTTCTTCTCAAGATCCTGATATGGTAGAATCAAATACTCTTCATAGATGAAAGGGTATTAAGGTGCTTTACCAAAATTGTGAATTTCATGACCCTGGGGTCCCACGTTTCCCCATGGGGAGGGAGTAACCTTTATTATATGTATATAGGGAAATCACATTTTGGACCAACATTTGTTTAATTTCCATTGAAAGTAATTCAATTTGGGTTAGCATTATCAGTATTGGATAGCAGTTTGATGGTATGCACATATCAGCCCTGACTCACACCAAGGGGTTGATGGGTGGGGTCGAATTGACTGAAATTTCAAAATCTTCTTCTCAAGACCCAGATATGATAGAATCAAATACTCTTCATAGATGGAAGGGGTTTAAGGTGCTCTACCGAAATTGTGAATTTTATGACCTTAGGGTCTCAAGTTTACCCCTGGGAAAGGGGGGGGGGGTGGCAAAATTTATTATGGTTTATATTGGCAAATGATACTTTGGATATTACATGTTGATAACTTGATTATAACCCTGAGTTGACAGTTTGATACTTTGAAAATTTTGAGCCAGCCCTACCCCCATGGGCTGTAGGGCGGGACCCAAAGGAGTCAGTGTGCTAAAATTTCTTCATTTTCCTTGTTTAGAATCAGAGGTGCTGGTTTCAAATACTTTTCAGTCTTAAATCTGTATGCTAGATATTGAATAAGGTGGTTTTATTGTTTTTTGTCATTTTGAATAATATTTCTGTTCATGTTTTAAAAACAAAAAATCAACTCTCTGTATAAATATATCAGAACTCAGGTGACCGTAAAGGCCCATGGGCCTCTTTTTGTATATCATATACTAAATCTGCAAAAAGGAAGTTAACTGTAAACTGTTTTGTTGCATTTAGGATAAATATCACACAAATAATTCCAAAAGTTTAAAGTAACTATTGTCTAGTCAATCTACACAACCAAATTGTTGAGTGAGCCGACTATCAGTTTCAAAATATTTCTTATTTCTATGATAAACCTTTTATATTTTTATATAATTGTATCATCATTTATTACATTATTATCCTTTTGTAGACAATTTGATATTTTTTAAACAATTGTATTATGCATAATATTTTTGTAGCATAATATTTCATGTAAGATTAAGAAATATTTAGACAGACATGGTATTGTATACAATTAAGTGAATGTTGCGTGTTCCGTTGGATCCACGTATATCATTTAAACAAAAACTAACATTTTCACTGCGCATTTCTTGCCATCAGCGTGTTTATCGTTATCTTACATGACCACCGGCATATTAATTGAATATTAAGAATAATTTGTTTTAAAGAAATGTGTGTTTGATTATTTGTTATTGTACGTCTCAACAATTTTTGTACACGTCTCAACAATTTTTGTGCAATCATTTGATGATATTTTATCAAATTTATTAACTTAAGCAGTAGGGTGAGGGGGGGGGGGGGGGGG